GTCTTAACCACATATTCCTAATATAATAACTTCCGATTATTCGGTTGACGTTTTCCTTATATACCCAATTTGTATGTATGTATATAATTTAGCCCTTTTGCTTAACTTTATATCACATACATAATATATAACATTTGAGTTAATACTTGATTTTAACAAAAATATTTTGGGCACGAAGCAAAGATAGTAATGAAGTTAATAAGTCTACGATTAACATATAACACAATTTACATAAGTTAATAAGATACCAAGTTTGATTGTTTGTTATTTACTCCGTTTCTACGAAATAATGATGTAAATTCTTAAGCAAATTTTTTATTCTTGCAATATGTTGCTACAAAGTATAACAGTTTTGTTCACCTAACAGTTGTTTGTATCACCTACAAATAATATATATAGATTTGGGGGTACATACATATTATATAATAAAGTGATCAGGATGACGGGATGAGTAGGAAACTGTCTATCTGTCCGTTCGACCGTCTGTGCAAGCGATAACTAGAGTAAAAGTTGAGATATCTTAATGAAACTTGCTACACGTGTTCCTTAGCAAAAAGTGAGAACGAATTTGTAGATGGACATAATCGGACCACTGTCACGCCCAAAACGTCATTAATCGAAAACTTATACGTTTTATGTGCATCCTCCTCCTAAACCACTAAAGCTACTATAACTAATTCGCTAATAGCAAATTCTATAGGAACCCTTATCGACTGTAGGAAAAGGGATGAAATCGGATTATAATCCTGTCCTCTCTCCTAATAACAATTTTGTTAAAAACTACTAAAAGCGCGATAAATCAATAATTAAAGTGCCAGAGAAATTAATTTTAAACCTGGATGATATATGAGGGCTTTAGGTATCAATGTTATATTAATTTAATATACGTGGCGTCGCCCACATTTAAGTCAAAACCCATACCTCGGGACCTACGGTACTGATTTCAAATTCAAATTTGGCAGTCTGGTGGTTATCCTGACCTTCCTACATTTCACTATGAAATCGGACTATAATCACGCTACTTCCCATATAACTCGATTGAACATTCCATCTGATTATTTAACATTCGAGTATACAAATTAAAAACCAATCAATGTATCCAGAATAGACTTTACACAAATAATGCCTTTAAGGTGTCATACCTTATGATCCAAACTTGTCAAAATCATGCCACAACTGTTCAAGCCCCCAGCTACCGAAAGATGGCATCTCTCTCCAAACAACAACAACGGACC